AGAGCAAGCAAAACAAAACCACCCCCACCCCCTTAGCTCAAGGTCTGGATCCGCCACTGGCAAGGGAACAGGCTCATTGTGAGACATGCCTAATAAGTCATCATTTCCATTGTTGCCTTGCACAGCTGCTGGTCGGAGTGACACTGGAGCCGAGCGACGCCTGCAGGACATTGTAGCACGGCGCAAGTTGGTAGACCTCGCCAAAGCGCAGGCGCAGGAGGTGGCAGTGCTGCGGGCAGAAGTTGAACGACTACGCATGCGTACCTTCCCTGCTCTTGTGCAAATTGAACATTAAAAATTCGATTGAACTGTAAATAAGGCAAAGCAAAACCCAAGGTCTGCAGTGAACGTGTAGTGTCGAATTAACACGAACTCTGGTCGTTTTATCAAAGCATTTAATTGTTCATATTCTGAGTGATATCTGTTGACAGGTACTTTCCAACTAAAATTCATGCCACAAAGGTGATTGGTGGCATTTTAAGTTTTAATTCTGATTGTAAACAACTCTTGTTTCCTGATGGAAGATGTGCATAATACTGCCAAAGCAGAAGTAAACTTAAAAGTGTTTTATATGTTGTTTACCGTTATTACTTGTTTGTTTTGCAACAGGTGCTAATGTCGGACTCATTGACTGAATCAAATTATGCATTCTTGCTTTACGTCCTAACATGCATGTGATATTTCTGCACCCTCCCTACCCTCAATGAAAACCTGGCTTTGATTAGAGAAGTATGCATCTGTACAGCGCAATGTTGCCGTTACAATTTTCGACATGCGGCGTCTCTCACTGTGTTACAATTTGAAAATGGTCCGTCCACATGCGTTTCTTAAATGTTTTCCTTCCAAAAGATAGTTTGAGTTACAGTTTTTAATTCATCGAGGGTTTTTTTTTTCCTCCATACTACTTAAATGTGAAGAGGTGGAAGCCATCAGAAAAGAAAACATGCTGCTTGAACGTAAATGAGAAAACGAAACAACGGTCCTGCAGGGCAGAAATATATCACGACATTTGCTTATCACACCGGGGGCGGAAACTCCTTGATTATTGATTGTCACTAAACAAATTTAAATAAAGAAATGAAGCTGTAAGTTCAGGCCGCAGTTGAGACAATTGGATTAAAAGAAATTGCTAGGGATACAATACAAGACTTGCATATTGAAGAATCGATATTGTGCAGTTTACACTGAGAAAATTGCATATTTTACAACTTGATGTTGCGGCGCATTTTACAAGATATTGCATATTTTTACATACAGATATTGCAGATTTTACAGGATATTGCAATTTTTGCAAATAAATATTGGGCAATTTAGAAGAGATAGTGTGCATTGTGCCAATTCGTATATTTGCGTTGTGTTGCGTTGCACGAAGGATAACTATCTGCAACACCCCTCTCAAAAACCACGCATGTGGCTTCAGTCAACAACAACAGTAACGACACGGAAGTAAAGAACTCTGGAAGGTAGCGATAAAATTCCGCGACGGGTCAACGAGCCTCCTGTCCGATAGAAGGACTTCAAACGCGACGTAGGAACAGTTGAACTAACGAATACAACAAAGCTGTATCAAAATGATACATTTGTTTCAGGTGATATAGAGTGGAATCCCGATCTCTTGAACCCTCGTTTTTTCGAACCTTCGAACACCATAAATTTAGCCCCGATTTCTCGAACTATCCGATATTTGGAACAAAATTTTCGTTTCCCTTGGAGGCGAAAAATCATAATTCCACTGTACTAATCTCCCGGGACTCATCTTCACTCTGAAAGGACAAATCACTGTGATTAGTCTGATGCGATGTAACTTGAACTCAACTGTCTTTATCCGTTTCATAAACAATCCTGTATTGGTAAGTTAAGTTGGTTTAGCTGCGCAAATCGAAATTAGCAACTACCTGAACTGATAAGAAAAGAGTCAAACTTGAACGAAACGAAGGAAACGAGGTCGTTACTTTCTGAAGTGTTTGCTGAAGTGCTTGGTGCTTGCCCGTTTCAAGTTGCTTCGAAGACGTTTCTACCCTTGTCATGTTACAGTCATAACTGACGTACTCTCGTACCAGTGTTGGCTAGTTACGAAGAAGCAGGTTTTCGATATTTAATAATTCGTAGTCAAAGCTCGAACGGGCTTGAAATACATTACTCATTATCCAGCTGATTCCGTTTGAGTGCTACATGAAGTTTTGATGACTCTTCGAGTAAGACGCTGCCGTATAAATAATCACTCCGGTAACTTCTCGACACTTCTGACTTCGCAATGCGGTCCGACTTGTCATTTCATTCTTCACAGGAAGCGTCTGCGGTATTGGAAAAATTAAGGACTGAAAACAATCCTTCCTCGACTACATGCTGTTACTAATATGGGAACTCGGTCTCTCAGGTCCCGTAGCGTAGACGGGTTTGATAATCGGTGAAGTAGAGGGATCGTGCTTATTTAGGAAGGGCACTTTGGGACAGGACGCTTGTGTTTTAGCCATAATCATAATTTTGTGTAGGTTGGGAGTACACTAAGCTATTATAAAATACTGTAGCTTTAATATAATCGTGAATTTTATTGCTCTTGTTTCTTTTACGTCCGGCTGACTAGCATCAAGCGCCAGGTCTGTGATGATGAGTACTTCGAACAACCGAGTCTTCAGTTTGATTTTCACGGACTCGAGAGGTCAGTCTACTGGCGGGGCTTATTGGAGCTGCTGGGAGATATCTTATCAGCCAGAAGGAAGAGCTACCCTACTCAGCGCTTGGAGACGAGTTGGCATGCAGCCAAATTAACAGACGAAAGAACTGAATGATTTAAATGAATCTCACTGTTACACGGTCTTTTGTTAGTCAGATAATGTTCATGATTCGACAATCGCCTTTTTATTCAGCTGCTAGTATCCAACAACATTCGACCATTGAAAAGTAGTCAATGTCGGGGACGCTTGACACAGAGAAATTGATATGGTAATACAGTAACTTCTAGAACAGTCCTGTTTGCTCTTCAGTGTCTTCTCCCTGAGGACGAGAAATACGTCCTTGGCTCAGAGAAGTACGTTTCCGAGATTTAAATTTCACTGTTTATTTTCCCTAACTTCCCTTGGTATCGTATTTTAAAAAAATAAAAGGCAACAAAGCTGCGACATCGAGAGATGCGTCAATTTTTATGTCGCATAACACCTCGGCGAGGCAGATGGTGCAGAGAATACAACTGAATAAACATAGTAATTATTTATCACTTCAATTCTCTGGCTTTTAATTTTTGGCGGCAGCCCGTGAGGTCAGCCGACGAAAGGCAGATGATTGCGGCATGCTTCCGAACCTTACATCAGAAAAACATTTTCAGTTTCAGTGTTGTTGGGCAGACGAATTAGCGGGGAAATCTTGGGAATTAGCGAAGTCACTCGCTCGGCCGCAACTCGCTTGTGAGCGCAGCAGGTTACGCGAGCAACCAGCAAGAAACGACTTGTGGGCAGGCGGCAAACTGACAACTACTCCGCAGATGTCGAGGTGCTCTTACAATAGTCCTTTGTTTATGGTGCCAAACTAGAGGATATTTGAAATGCAAAACTCCGGCGGCAGCCTATGAGGTCGAAGGAAGATAATACCTGGTGTTTCACGTCCTTCCGCGGTGGCAACTTTGATTGACAGCCTGGCTACCGCCCTTGAGGGATGACGGAAGCTGCCGTGTAATCATTTTCGTCAGCTTCAAGTCTGCGACCGAAGGAGCCTAATTCGGACGGCCAATTCCTTGCCTATTCCTTCGTCTTTTAAAGACGTATAATTAGGTAAGTAAAAACTAAACCCTTTTCCTTGGAAGCAGCCTATTAGTCGGTGAGCGGGGAGAAAATCGAGTTGTAACGGATACCTTCTCTCTCCCGTTCATGGCTGTCTGCGCAGGCAGGCTAATTCTTGTCGTTATCTCGTGAATATTCTCGCTCGGTGTCTCCGCGCTGAAAAGCATTTTCGTCAAGGGAAAGATTGAAAAATCTACTCCTTCCCATCAAATGACCGTATCGACCCAACTTCGAAATGTTAAGACTAAAGCAGTCGTTGTCTTCAAGACCAAGCAGTTCATTCAGTTGCCGACGCTCCTACCGCGCGACCCTTCCATTCTCGACACGAAATACGACAGAGCGCAAGGACGCACTCTGTTTTTAAGATAGAGTTCCGATGAATCGATGAAGTTAACTCCAGCGAATGAAGAATTGAATCCTTTCGTGTACTGCTGGTAACCCAGAGGCTGATAGCAACTGTGTTTCTGTAATCAGTCTGCGGAGAAAAACACATGGAGACAGCACATATTATATTCGAGGGGAAGTCGCTTGTCTTATATTACAACAAATCTTCAAACTTGTTTTCTCAATATTTTCCCATATCCTCGAGTAGTAGAGACGACATTTCATATGTGTATAAGTATTTCAGACAAGGACTCGAAGTTTCCTTCATCTTCTTGAATGAAAATCTCGACCGCGGATTGCTTAGAGGTTGAAGAAGACAGTCGAGACCGCGACCTATTCCACGTGTCATGTCCGTCCGCGACGCTGGGCTTTTCAAACCCATATAGACTCACTAAGAATTAGAATGTACAAATTATTTGTTAATGGGTACTACGAAAGACTGTTTGGCCGGTAAAATTGCAAGTATTTTTCGATTCAAGCGAAATGTTTCGAAATCTGGCGAAACCGGCTGGGGGTCAGGAACTACGCAAAAGCGAGAGATTTATTTTTGGCAGTTGACGTCAAGCAATAATTCTCAGTTTATTTGTTTCCTGTTCTCCAGTCGAGTTGAGGGCAAAAACTCTCTTCTTAGCTATAAATCTCAATAGACGGTAATATTGTGCACAGCCATTGCGTCGAACAATCATTTACTTCTGTCGGGTGTTTCTTTATTTAATTTTTTTGTTTACATTAAATAATCAGTGCGAAGACGGAGGTAAAATGATCTACTGGCAACTGGCTGTCGTTTAATAGTATCGCTCGCCTTTTTGCAATATTATGGCAGTTATTAGGTTTGTGTCTGTTAAC